GACGCCGGCCGGGCTGAAGGGGGCCGGGAGGCGCCGCACGGCTCTCGCAGCCGGGGCAGAGCCTCTCCGGCCGTCAACGCAGAATTTTTCAAGCAGCTGCTGGAACTTCGCAAGCTGTTCTTTCCAAAACTGGTGAGCGCCGAGCTGGGCTTGCTCTGCCTCCACTCGGTCGCTCTGGTTTCCCGGACCTTCCTCTCCATCTATGTGGCCGCCCTCGATGGGAAGATTGTGAAAAGCATCGTGGAAAAAAAGCCCAGGAGCTTTGTCTTCAAATTAATCAAATGGCTGATGATTGCAATCCCGGCCACTTTTGTGAACAGCACCATACGGTACCTGGAGTGCAAGCTGGCCCTCGCCTTCCGCACGCGCCTGGTGGATCACGCCTATGAGACCTACTTTGCCAACCAGACTTACTACAGAGTGATCAGCATGGACGGGCGGCTGGCCAACCCTGACCAGTCCCTCACCGAGGACATCATGATGTTCTCACAGTCCGTGGCGCATCTCTACTCCAACCTCACCAAACCCATCCTGGATGTCGTGCTAACCTCCTACACCCTCATCCGCACAGCGCGGTCCCGGGGGGCTAACCCCATCGGCCCCACGCTCCTGGCTGGGCTCGTCGTCTACGCTACAGCCCGCGTGCTCAAAGCTTGCTCTCCCAAGTTTGGCAAGCTGGTGGCTGAGGAGGCGCACAAGAAGGGCTATCTGCGCTTCATGCATTCGCGCATCATTGCCAACGTGGAAGAGATCGCCTTTTACCGAGGGCACAAGGTAAGGAGGAGAGAAATCCAAGGGCTGTTGGGGTTGCCTCCGCAGTGCCGGAGCGGACCCGTGCTTCCCCTGCTGCCCTCCCCGAGCACTTCGGGCCGCTCTGACATTTAAACCTGTTTACAGTTAGCACTTCCCGTTTCCTAGGAAAATGCAGTCTCACAGGCGGTGTCCGGAGGGAGCGGACCGTAGTTCCCTTGTGCTCTGATAGGGTTCCTGTTTTGCAGCTGGATCCTATGCTTTTCTAGAAAGCTAGTCTCTGTTTTCACCCCACCCAGTCCATTCCACCTAACTTTTCCAGGCTTTTTTTTTTTCACCCATGTTTACGAACTGCCAGATGTAATGCTGCAGAAATAGCAACCAGGGCACACCAGAAAGTCTAGGGGAAAACTCTGTGATAGCACAGAGAGCACTACAACCTTTGACACTCTTTTACATAGCTAAGCAAAGATGTAGTCATCAGAGTCTTAAAATAGCTTAAGTACAGTACTTCAGCAGTCAGAGTTACATAAACTAATGGCTTGTTTTAAAGCCACCTTATTAAGGAGCTCTTCATATTTTTATTAGGAGCGAATTTTGGCTGCAACATCTTTCAAACACGATTTGGAAAAACAGAAGTTGTTTCATGTAAGGTGAAAATGAAAGCTGGAAACCAGCCTGAAGTGTTACTCTTTCAGTCCAAGCAATGATTATATAATGCAAATGGTTTATTTTGGTAGAAGCAATCATTCTCAAAAGCTGCCTATAGTAATGTTTTAAGTGCAGCTAAATTAAACATTTTTTCAATTCCCTAATATACTGACTTGAACTGAATGCATTATATCATATTGACTTGTCTTTGACTTGTTAGACCTCTTGGGATAGTTCTCTCTTCCTCCGGACTGCTTGCAAAACCAGGCAGCATTGCGTTTGAGGGATCGGCTCTGCAACTTTAAGCCATTGGAGATAATTGATCCACAAATGCTTTCCAATATAAGGAGTTTCAGTTGCTGTGAAACACTACAGCTGCAGCTTCATTAGAAGGATGTGCAATCAATCTTATTTTGGTTGTTAGAATCAGCTGTTGTGACTGTCTTGTATGTTTTTCTTGTATATATCAGAGATCTTAAAAAAGCTGAAAACCTGCCAATGTGCAATTGAGAGACAGTGCTGTAAATAAGAACCAGGTCCACTGACTGCCATAAACCTGTGGGCTTTTGCTGTGAGACTGCAGCACTGTGAAAATAAAATGCCACACAGCAGATGTGACCCAGAAGTCACATCTCTGGGTACCCGAGTATTTCATGTTTCATGCCCGTATGTGAATGTATCTTGTATGACATGCGCATCTTTGTTGCATTGTATAAATGCTTTATTTTTTAACTTTAGGTAGAAATGAAACAACTGCAGAAAAGCTACAAGGCTTTGGCAGATCAAATGAATCTCATTTTGTCCAAACGTTTATGGTACATCATGATAGAGCAGTTCCTGATGAAGTATGTCTGGAGTAGCTGTGGTATGATTATGGTCGCTGTGCCCATCATCACCGCAACAGGATTTGCAGATGGCGGTAATACCATTTTTTTACTTAATTTCTAAATGTTTCTTTAAAGTTACCTCCTCTAAAGACTGTACTTCCCCATGGATGCCATTCATATTTATTTATTATTCACAGCGTTATTACAACATCTATGTCTTGTGTGTAACTTTCAAGCATAGCAAGTCAGCTGAGGAAAGAGCAATGCAAAAGATCCAACTTTGAACATAAGCTTGATAAACAGCACGAATTCAGGACTTAGAGGATCGTCGTGTCATATGAGATTATAATGATAATTGCACTCCTTATTCACTAGCCACTGTTGGGATGGCATGCTGATTTTTGCAGCATCTCCTGCCACTTTACAAAATGATACTATTAACTTTCCTAGAGTGCTTATCTCTTCCTTCCATGAATCATAGTGTAATTATAGGTAATTATTCTCTTCTGTGTTGACCTGTTAGGAACCACTCTTTTTTCCTGACTCCCTAGGAGAAAAGAAGGTGAAATTCAAATTCCAAGCTTGGATGGTGTCATTTTTGATATCCTGTCACAACTTTCCAGGAAGTGAAAAAAGACTCAAGTAGTGTTGTTCTTGCAGATGCTATTAGAAAAAAAAAAAAAAAAAGGAAAAAGAGCAGAAAGAAAGGTAATTAAGGAGGGGTAGCGAAAGCCAAGGTGGGAAGTTTGCCTCACCTGGCTTCATTATGTGCAATTAGAACCATAGAATATATTACAAATGCCATAGTGTTCTTTAAGCAGGGATCCTACAATGTCTGTGGAAGGAATAGTTCTAAGTTGGGTACAGTTAATCAGGAATGAGTGCATTCTTTTCCATACAGGCCTTGGTAGTTATGTTCCAAATCAGAGCTGTGCAGCTGGACAAGCTTGGTTCGAGCTGTAGGATGACTTCGTGCAGCCCCCACGTGGTTTAGCTTACTTGCAGTTTGTGTCGGTACGCGACTGGGTGTTCAGCTGTCTGAGCCACTGCCCATCACATGGCTCAGGAGGTCCTATATCAGGACCCTGGCTCCCATCCTGGTAGCAGCTTCAAAAATATCAGGAGGTCCTATTCCAAACAGAAGAGTTTGTACAAAACCATTTCACCTCACAGTGGAGGTTATCAGCACAACAGAAAAAGTGATGAATCTCTGTTAAGACGGGAATGAGTACAGGCAAGAAAAATATCGTTTAACCACACATTGTAAATATCTCCTTGGTATTACAGCATGAATATAAAAAAGACTCATATTTCTGGTAAAATAAATAACATTCCTTCTACTCATGAGTATTCTTTTGATAAATATTTTTCAAATGTGGGAGAAAAGAAAGATGCAGCGGTGGCTCATGTTATAAAGCAGAAGAATATTTGCCACCAGCAACGTAAAACGTTAAAGCATGAGGCTTGTTATGGAGACATGAGGCATGTCATAATCATGGATCACAAACATAATACTGACAAATCAACGTTGTCAGGACCAGTTCGAGGTATAACAGGTATTCAAAGAATCAAGCAGAGCTAAACTTACCATTGACCTGCTTGGGAAAACAGTGCTTTGTGGCTCAGCAGGTCAGATGCAAGTTTGTTCATATCTGAAGTAAGAGATGGTGGATTTATTACTTTAGGATAAATCACCAGAATCAGGATTCTGCAAAGAACTGGTACCATGACCAGATCTAAGACTAAACGTGTACAGCAACAAATTTTGTACGCTTCTTCAGGGACAAAAAAAAAGTAAATAAAAGAAGTACAAAAAAATAATCCTGCAATAAAAAGAAAAAAGATTCTTCTATAATGGTGATATTTCTGACTGAAATTTGCTAATTCTGTTACATATTTCAGGGAAGAAAGTAACTGGCAAAGCCAAGATTCCCATGTGATAACATTTCTCATTCTTTTTATATTAAATGATTGGTGTTCCAAATGTTGTGTCTCTCATCAGTTTGTGGAAAGTAACTATTTTTAGAAGCAAGACTTTGGTATCTCTATACACAGCAAACACTTATCTTTGTTTATAAAACAAGTATGACTATCAATTACAGAAATGAAGATGAAAAGGGAAATGTTAGATTCTGTATGAAACAGAGGCAGCCTGTCTGCCCTGCTACAACACGCACTTCTTCAAACACTGGAGGCCAGCCGTATGAAAAATGGTTTGGACAAAAAGTTCAAGAAAAGTAGTCTTGGTGGGTTAGGCATGTAATAGAAGAGCTTGAGTTTTGGAACAGTGAAATGCTCGTAATTTCTGTATAATTTTATTTTTTCAAATACTTCTAAAATGACGGATGCAGTGGTTTGTGGAGATCTCCCGGCTCTTGCTGGATGAGCTAGCCTGGGTGCTGGAAGCAGCCATCAGTAAATTCTGCATTTAAATGCAGGAGGAATGCTGCATTAGTATAGTTAAACCATACCTGATTCCTAAATTATTTAGTTGTGGTGGTCCTACATAGCACGGGCTGCATGAGTTATAATCCCAACAAGATCAGAAAAAAGTTGGTTCTCTGAGAAGTAAGAAACAAATTTCAATTTAGTTTTTACTGATGAATTAACTGAAATCTCCCTATCCCCTACGTTTATTCTTATTCTTGGAGTGGAAATGACTTTTTAAAATAAGTGAGAACTTACATGAGCAAGAATTTTGTAATTTTGCAAATCCCTTTGCAAGAGGTTTTCTGTCTTTTTTTTTTAAAAAGGCATGCCTCTCATTGTGTTTCAGGTGGCTAGTTTACATACAACTAGTTGACAGGATACTGATGATGTTTAAATTAACCTAAAAAATTGGAACATGTAACACAATTAATTCAAATTGTTAGAAAAAACATCTGAGGCCAGAAAGAGTAACATATAGATGGTGTGTATATATATATGTGCAAAATTATGATGTAAGAATTTAAAAAAAGTTTTTCCAAAATTATCCATAGTGTATTTCAGTGATTCAGATGTAATTATGTAGAGGTACCTTTATGGATGTGTAAATGACAAAATAATAGCATTTAGATTTAACTAATAAAGACAGAAAGATACATCTGACAGAAATCTACATACTGCATGTAGATTTCTAGACACCAGATTTCTAGAATCTGATCTTGTCAGGGAGGTGAAACACTTACTCATCAAGTAAAAAAATATTGTTTGCTATACTCTTGCATTGCTTGACTTAGCCCATAAAATTTACAGTTGCATTACACCTGCAGGGAATTCCTCCTAGATTTTCTTGACCATCAGCACTGTGCAAAAACCACAGAAGATGTTAGTAACAATTGCTAATACAGGAGTAGCCACTCTCGATCCACCTGTTACCCTGACTAGCCTGAAGCTTAGCAGCAGCTTAGCTTAAAAAAGAAACTTTAGAAAAACTTTACAAAAGAAAAAAATAATATCCAGACCCCAGTCTGCAACAGACTTAAGCAATATATAAAGGTATACGTAAAGTTATGTGATGCAGAACACCCTTGAGACCTTTAATTCCAAATCTTGTATGTGAAAAATCTTTGAGTGGTTTACTACACATTGTTGTCTTCTTTTTGTGGATGCAACAATTAACACTGTAACAACATTCAGTCTTAAAACATTCAGCCACTTCTTTTTAAATCTTTATTCCTTCAAGAAGCAAACATTGCAAGTTGACCACGCTGTATAGGTCTGTAGGTCACATGGTAGCAAGAGTATATGTAGTATGTGTTCAATGTAAACGTATTTATTTCTCACATATCTTCTATAATTTCTGCTGCTGTTTTCTCATTGCCTGTTGCTGCTGATGTGTTCTTATGAGACAACCGCTTTCTTTGGAGCAAGAATTTTCTTGCTAATTGGATGCAGTGTCATAAACAAAGCATCGCAACTTTGGTCTGGGTTCAGATGAAGAGAGAAACTGTGTTGTGAGAGAAGTATCCTACTTAAACCATGCCTTTGATAATAAAGGAGCTTATTGCTTTCTTATAGAAATATAATCATCTTGCCTAATTTCCATCAGTATGAATGTTTCCTTTTACATGAAGTCAGTAAATAAGTAAGGCTGGAATAATTGCTGAAGTAGTAAAAATGCTGTTAAAAATTTATTTGAGATCATTGCTTAAGTTTCACTTTTTTCTTATTTTGAAAAAATTAGGTTGAATAACGATATATTAAAAGGAAAATTATCTATGTAGACAAATAGTATAAAAGAATAGGATGCTTTGCATAAGAAGATTAATTGCATATACTCCCACTTATTCCTTGTTACTAAGCTATCTGTGCTAGTTAAATTCACCAATTCTTCCTGAAAGGTTGTCTTTGTAGAGTTAACTTTTTCTTAATTTAAAAGCTGCTCTGTAATGGCTCATGTTATAATCGTAATTTAATTTGTAGATATAATTTTCAGAAGATTTTTTTAAAAATAAATCTTTTATTCCTTTTAGAATTGGAAGATGGCCAGAAACAGGCAATGGTTAGTGAAAGAACAGAAGCTTTTACTACATCCCGAAACTTGCTGATCTCTGGAGCAGATGCTATTGAAAGGATTATGTCTTCATACAAAGAGGTACCGTACATCTGTCATACATGAAACAGAAGAGAAAAAAAAGTAAACCAAAATTTACATTTAATATAAAATGTTTTTTAAAAGTGCAATTTTAAAAGCAAATTCTATTGCAACTAAATCCATGGAGATCTTTGAACTGATAGTTTGATCTTTAGAGTTAAGTCCACAGAGTCTAAAGTGCACAGCTGCCAGCATGGTGCAACACGTAAATATAATTTTGAATACCTGTGTTCAGGTGCCATCAGAGAGCAATAGACGTTCCTGGAATGTGAGTGAAAAAGGTTCAAATTCCGCCTCTGTTTGGAGCACAGGCCTGAATTCAGGCTGTCTGCCTGCAATTTGTTGGTACTCTTCTGTTGGAAGTGTCATGTTTTATATGAAACACAAAGAGAATTGAATACTTATTTCCTGGCCACCTAAACTGTAGGGCTATTTTCAGTATCCTGTGAACCTGTTAAATTGTAAGTAATTTTGCAAAGTAGGAAAGTTTTAGTGGGAAAAAAATCCACTTTGGGACAGTGGATAGTCTAGAAGTATGGGATGTTCATCTGGAAGATCAGAGATGTTGTTTCAGGTTCTTACCCAAATTCCAGTAAAGTTGGGCTTTCATCTGTGGTCTTTCTTGGGGGTTCTCTGGGTGCTGGCTGTTAAGCAAAAGCAAAGTGAGGCAGTGCTGTTATTCTCCTCAGCATTTCCTTCTGAGTGTTGGTTCTGCCTTTGTTTAGTTGGTTTTTGCTCGTCCCTTTGGTGAGGACCCTTTTTCCCAGTGCAGTGCGAGGAGGCACGCATTAGCTAGACAGTTAATCAAAGACTATGGATTCCTTACTTGGAATCCAGCCATAATAGCTACAGCTCTGTAAATTGGAGGAGGAGGAGTAGTTTGGCGCCTTCAGATATGGACTATGACAAAGCCAGAGTCTGTGCTTTTTTCAGAAGGAGTTCTAATGGACTGTGATTTTGACCTATGCTCCTTTAGCTGTTCCCCTGCTCGGCCTCTGCTCTAAAGATACTGCCAGAAAACCTGATGTAATTTCTCTTTTACTTTCAACATTTAAGTCATTTATATAATGTACGTGGGGACTTAGAAACATTGTGGTTTTATTTTTGGGAAACAGAAATACCCACAAAGTAGTAGGAACAACTGAACAAGCTAACTTTTTAAAAAACATGGTGAGATTTTAATCCGGACAGCATAAGATCAAAGACGAGTTCTGTGAATTTCCATCTTAATTTTACATTTATACTTGTCCTCAACAGACACTGTGGTACTTTAACTACATGATCATTAACATCTCATGATTCAGGCAGTTTGCAAAGGACAGTTTACTTCAATCCACTTTAAGTGGTAGTGAAGCTCTGGTTCTTGCCCACCTGATCCAGCAAAGCAGCCTCCTTCCAGTCAATGTAATTCACTGTGCAGATGAGGTGGGCTGAACTTTTCTTTGCAGGTCAATAGTTTAGATGGTAGTATTTCGTGTTTTGACAAACTGAGTTTGTAGGGTCATGGTTTAGAAACTTACTACAAGTTATGCTTCTTCTGGGGCTCAGTTGGTACAAGTTCTGTTCATCGCGTGCAGGATTCTCTCCATCAAATGCTACTGAC